CATATTTTATTTATAATTGTTAAATCATCAGTGTTTTAGTCATATCAGGAATATATTTTGTATTTATTGTTTGTAGAAATGTCTCTAGGTCTTCGAGAAAATGGTTTTATCTTTTGCTTAAAGAGTGTACCTTCTAGGGCCAGCCAGATAGCTCCCTGGACTAAAGCACCTGCATAGGTAGACTCGGGCTGGGGATTGATCCCTGGCCTGCCCTGCTAGCCCCATTCCTGGGGCACGGTGGGGGCACAGTGAGAGGGTAATTGAGACTGCACTGGTGGTGTGCACCTGTAATCTCAGCTCTTGGGAGGCTGAACACAAGCAGATTACTAGGAGTCCTGTCTGCATAGTGAGATCCTGTAGACCTTGTTCTAAGTACAAAAAAAAGAAAAAGTGACTGCTTTTTTTCTTTTATTTAAAATATTCTCTGAATTTCAGAGACTCGTTTTCCATAATTTTATTATTTTTTGTTGTTTTGGTTTTTGTCTGCTTTTGGATCATCTTTTCGGTTTTAATTCTGTTTTTTTCTGCCCCTTTTAATTGGCTTGGAGCTTCTCAAAAATATAGATTTAAAATTATGATTTTTAAGGCTGGTGAGATAGTTCAGTGGATTAAGGACCTGCATAGGCAAGCACAGGGCCTAGGGTTAGATCTAGCCACCAAGTAACCTGCTAGCCCCACCCCTAGCATGCTGAGCCTTCCACTGAGTCAGGGCTTGGTGGTGCATGCTTGTAATCCCCAGTGCTGGAGATGCTGAAAAAAAAACAGGCGGATCACTTTGAGGCTGAGCTGTGTAGTGAGGCCCTGTACCAAATACATTAAAAAATGTTAAAAAATTATTTTATGATATAAGCTATCAAACATAAAGCATAGAGAATTATAAACCCATGAGCCCCTCAAACAGTTTCAAGAGTCTTAATTACAGCTACAATAAGTAGAAAATTGTTTTAATTTTTAAAAAATTTTCATTATAAACCTAAAATGATAAAATGTTTAAATGTATAAAGTTACTAAAACTTCGTTAACAAACTATGGTTTATCAGAAAGTGAACAGAATGTTTTTTTTTCTTTTTGCAGAACCAGAGATTGAACTCAGGTCCTTGTGCTTGCCAGCAAAGCGCTTATTCTACTGAGCCATCTGCCTGGCCCAACAGAACTTTTTGATCCAATCATTTTTGTTATTGTTTGTTGACACAAGGTCTCACGATATAGTTCAGGCTGGGCTTTAATGCACCATGGAGCCCAGGCCGATCTTGTACATAGAGCATTTCCCTTGCCTCAGCCTCCTGAGTGCTGGGATTACAGATGTATAACCACATGCTGGGGTCCCAGTGATGTTACTGCGTACATATTTATGCATAGTCTTGAGTCATCTTGAAATTGTTTTTCAAGGCAGCCCAGGGATATATAAAAAATGTTTGTTCTTCCTGCTTTTTGCCATTTCAAGGTTACTTTTATTTTCTCAGTAAGCAATTAAGTTCCTGAGAAGGAGAAACTGGGCATTAATCTTCTCTGCTCTCATCTTCTCTACCTCAGCTACTTGATTGCTTTCTTGTAATTTATTTCTCCATGAGGCAAGTTATTGAAAGCAGTTTATGAACTTGAACATTTCTCGCCAGCTTTGTTGATGGGTAATAAGCTCTTTTCAAGAATTATTTATAAAAATCAAAGTTTATTTCATCATTACAAATTAGCAAAAATTTGTAAGGTAAATAGTAGTGCTAGCAATTATAGCTATCGTTTTTTCTTTATAGCTATCATTTTGTACTGGTTGTGAAGCGGAATTTCATGCAGTCCTCCTACCAGCCCTTTAAGGAAGCTGTTGTTGTTGTTTGTAATAATCCTCATGTGCAGAGCGAAGCTGAGGTCCAGGGAGGGAACACAATTTTACCAACTTCACACAACTAGTGTGACATAGGATTTTTAAAAATGGACCTTCTTTTGGGGAAGGGCTAGGACCCCTCTTATTTGGTATAGGAAAGTGGTTCTTATACCAAAACAGTTTGATTAAAGCAAAAAGCTTAATCCACAATGCTATTCATCTAATTAATTTTTTTCCTTTTTATTAATAGACAACTGAATTCAACCATTGGAAGAATGTCCTATTTATCATGCATTTTCTTCTTTCCTGTTTTTTGGGGTAAGAAATCATAGAAAATGGAAGTGCGGATCCATGCCATCACTTGATAAGTGAAATCTAAATTTGTACCTCTGTGTGCTTTGCTGTGTCAGTGCTGTTCCCTTAAAAGGTGTGAAGAGCTGGGTGCATGGTACAGGCCTGCAGTCCCAGTACTCTGGAAGTAGGAGCTGGAGGATTCCATGTTCAAGCTCAGTCAGAGCAACTTAATGCGACTCTCTCTCAAAATAAAAAATAAAGGGCTTGGGCTATAGTTCAGTGACAGG